TTTTGTCAAATTCCTTGAAACAGATCCTTATTGTTCTTCACGAGCCCTTCCGCTTGTCACTGCAATTGTATCCACCGTCTTGATGACATTCAGTTTCATTAAATCTGGCAGGCCAAGAACTACCATACTTTTCTCTGAAGTTTTCACCATCACGAATTCCAGACTAAATTGCTCACGCCTATACTCCGTTTTCAAAATACACGACCCTTTGACTGCAATTCTCTTTCCCTTATAACTCAGTCCTTCATAATTCACTGGATGTTTCAACAACTTCCAGGTGGTTCTGTTTCCAAGATTCATAAACATGTGGTACAACATTGATTTGAGTCCCTGAGTCTACCTTGAATTTCACCAACTTCTCCAGCTGTTTCAGACACACAGTGATCCGCCAGCAACGATTAGGCTCCTGCATTACTTTCATCTCTCCGATCATATAGGATACGTCATTGATTTCAAACGTATCTTCTACCTCGTCAGCCATAGAGTCTCCAGACATATATTGAACCTCATCAACTTTTCTGCTCCGACATCCTCTTGCAAAATGACCTGGCTTGCTGCAACTTCCACATGGCTTTCCTCTTGCTGGACTTCTACCAGCAGGACGTGTCTCAAATTCACAGTTTTCACAGTGTTTCCCTGCGGTTGGATATTGACTGCTTTGCCGTTGAATATTTAGGTTCCCACAATTCGTTGATTGTCACTGCACTACGGTTGGTGCAGGGAAATTCTGACTGTGACCACTGCCATCCTCCGTGCCTGATTGAGTAAAGTTGTTCTTATAACTTGTCTGCGGGCTTTCCTGTGTTGAAAAAAAGTGTCTTTGCAATATCTTCCAAAAATCTTGGGAAAAATCTTAGAAAGGCTTTGTTTTCGAAAGAGCTTTTTGACTCACTTTTTGACTCAAATTTTTTTAAAAAGATTTTCGGGAGACGAATTTTTTCCTAAGATCATCGAAAGACAATTTTTCTCGAAGATCTTCAGAGGATAATTTTTGGTTGAAGATCTTGAGACCCATTTTAATAAGGTACTTGATGCTGAAACAGTCCCGATTTCTTGGGGTTCAGCGGCCTTGACTATGATATTTAAAAATGGCGACAAACTCGATCCTCTCAATTACAGAGGGATTGCCTTATGCAAGTGCCTGACGAAGCTCTTTACGCAGATCCTCAGGGATAGAATTCAATAGTGGGCAGATAAAGAAAACATTCTGGACGAAAGCAAAGCTGGTTTCAGGCCGGGAAGGGGTTGTTGGGACCAGAACTTGGTATTATTTAATGTAATACAACTGCAACTTAGACTTGGCTCCAGGAAGGTGTTCAGTGTGTTTATCCATTTCAGACGAGCATTTGACTTGGTCCCACATGACAAACTTTGGTCCAAGCTGCTCAATCTCCGTCTGTGTCCTAAAATAGTAAAAATCCTGAAGTCTCTATATGACGGCGCAAACATTAGAGTTAAATTTGGGGGCCTATTATCAGGGGAGATGCCAGTCATTGCTGGTGACCTTCAGGGTGAATCTTTGAGTCCACTACTTTTTATATTGTTCATCTCTGACCTTGAGAAATATCTAAGGAATTGTGGCTTCCAGGGAGTGGATATCAAAGGAAGAGATGACGTACTACTCCTGCTCTATGCAGATGATTTGGTTATCTTGACTATTAGTGAGCGCAAGTTACAGAGTATTCTCAATGTGTTGCATAGGTATTGCCATGAAAATGGTGTAACTGTAAATTGAGATAAAACTAAAGTTATGGTGTTTAGAGAGGGGGAAGTCTGAGCCCTTCCCTAAAATTCATGTACAATAACAAGCTCCTAGAAATTATATCATCATATATGTACCTTGGTGTATTAATGAGTAGCTCCTCTTTAGGTGCTGTCGCTGCTCAGGATTTAGTGCGTAAGGCTAAGCAGGCAACTAACTCTGTGATTGGAATTCTCGCTAGCTCCAAGTGTGACTCGTGGTATTGTATGATCAAACTATTCGAGGCTATCTCCAAGTCCACTCTCCTGTACGCGTGGCCAGTTTGATCACTTGATTACTGTGACATGATCGAATCTGTACAGACCGCTTTTTTTAAGATATTACTTTATCTACCAAATTGCACACCCAACTGTGCTTTGCGACTTGAGCTGGGCTTGGTGAGAGTCGAGTATGCTGTGATGTAGCTGACCATTAATTACATAATAAAAATTTTGAAAATGTCGGAAGAAAGATCACCAAGGATTTGTTTTATACAATTAGTGAAACTAATCCATTTAAGAATCCTGTTGAATTCCGCAAATTTAAGTGGTCAGTTAGAATTAAGGAGTTGTTGTCTCTGGCCAATTGTAGTGAACCATGGGGTTGCCTGGATGTTCATGAATGGGTGCTGAAGACTGACTTAATATTTAGTAGGTGTAAGAGTTTGTTGATTGATAGAAATCTAGCGGAAGCGTCCAGAGTCACACGCAAAATTCCACTTGTGAGAGATCCTTTCTCCTTTAAGAATTCGTATTTAACTAGAAGATGTTCTGATGTGCTATGCTGAGAGTCAAGGCGCAGGTAAGATTGGCAAGCCTGTATAATTGCCAGTTTATTATATCTGGAAATTCCTATAAACTATTTCCTTTCCAGAAATGTATCTGTTGTTCCCTGGATGCGCACCAATCGAGCCAGCATATTCTGCAGTTTTGTCCACTATACGATGCGCTTTGCTCCAAGCACATTCAAGCATTTCTTAGGAATGCCTCTTGTAAGGACTTCTTAGCGTTTATTAATTCGCCTGACAAAGACGCCACCAGATCTCTTTTCTTTTTGAGGCCGACGAACGCCTTTCTAACCTCGCTTCGCTCAACGCTACAAACGCGTTTTCAGCCACAATGACATAAAATAGCCACAGCCAAAAGAGGGATTCGGATTCATGCGCTTTATGATCCGCGCCAGCGGCTCGGACTATAAAGCCGCATTCTTCAAATTCGCTTTCTCCGTCCTAGGTGTGAAAAATACTATGTCTACGCATCCAGTTTAGAGGAACGTTTTCTCAGGATGTTGGAAACCAATCATCTTCAGAAGATTTTACAGGAAATTGTCTTCCGAAGATCTAAAAAATACAATATCTTTCGAACATCTTGGAGAAAGAATGTCTTTCGAAGATCTTGGAAAAAAATTATCTTCGGAATATCTCGGAAAAAAATTATCTTCTCTAGATCTTCTAAAAAAATCTCTGAAAGATCTTCTAAAATTATAGTCCAAGGAGTTTTTATCTGTCTTCACCAGATTTTGTCTTCTGCAGAGCTTTTTGGCTCACCAAGAATATGGTAGAGTTTAATTATGGTAAACATCATTCACTAAGTAACGTAAAGCGTACACCTATCATTCACCATTTTCGGCAATCATTGCCATGCCAGTGCGGACTCATGCAGCAACTCGGAAGTCATTAGATCTTACTAGCCGCCAAACATTACTAATGGTGTATATAGTAGTATCAGCGATATAATTTCCTCAACTACCCACTAACGCTGCGCAGAAATAATTCAATTGATAGTTTCAATGTCGCGCATTTTAACGAAGAAATAATTTATGTAAATAATAGAGAGTAAGTATATTACAAGTGATACGTAATTACGGGAACACATCGAATTTAGAAAGAATAAGAAGCCGAAGATCAGAGTTGGGTATTTCAAAGAAACGATTATTGTTTAAGTATTTTTAATACAAACCCAACCTTTCCTTCATGTTCCCTCGAAATTCCGAAATCTGTTCATAAAGCTATTCCTCTTACATTTAATGCGACACCCCGAATTGCGAAATCTTGCTACCGCCGCTTTTGTTGTCTCCTGTCATATAGTTTGCATTTCCCTTCACACGTTCCACCCTGCCGCAGAAGAACCTCTCTGAGTGAAACACTACCATAAAATAATTGACAAACTTTCCTTGACGAATTTCCAGGTGCCCATAGAGTCCTACTCCAGGAAAACCACCCTGCCCTCATTGAGTCGCAAAATTCCCCGATTCCCCATGCCAACTGCTCCCCTCTCTCAAAACTGTCGTGTTGGGCCCTACATCACAGGTACACTATTAGAGAATAAGTGGGATTCGGAGGTCAAGGAGCGTGGGGGCAAGTTCCAGCCCCTCAAGATAGATTACCATCGTGATTGGCTCCCTAATACGTTTAAGGGTTGTAACTTTAATTTTGAGATAGCGTAGGACTAGTATAATAAGAACTTAACCAAAAATGTAAAATGACTTCTGTCCTAGAGTTCAGGAAGAAAACACTCCTTCCAATTAAAAGTACAACCAGTATTAAAATATTCGAGGTGTAGTTATTTTGAAATTGAATCTCCCCGCAGCCAGTGAGCAGAGTGGCTGAACACTCCATGGGCACCTTACCCGCCCTATTCAATAAATCACCAGATCGGACACGACGTACAACACTAACGACTGAGTCTATGCCAAAATTCCGCTCGATTGGTCCAGTCGTTTTCCATAAATTGCCATGTTTTGGGAAGTCATGCAAAGTCATGTTTTTCCGCCCAAGATCTACATGCTATTTTTTCATGGAATCTGAAAATTTTAGGATTGGAATATTATTTATGTCACTGGGCCCGTCATAACATCGTACTTTTATTGCTCGAGGGAGTTATAAGTTGCTACTTATCACTTTTCGTTTTCCTCACATCCGAGCAATAAAAATACTCGGTTAATCTGGCTTTGTAACATAATGTCACATATGTCGCACAGTCTCAAAACGATTTTAACACTATATTTGATGCGAATCCGCGCCGTCGGCCCGGATTTTAGTGAAATACGTTACTAAAATAGTTTTCAAACCTCGTAGCATAAATTACTATTATTGAAAAAACAACTCACACAATTCGTTTGTTGTTAATCAAATCGTCTTTGTTCCTTTCAAAATTACTTCTCCAATATTATATAAAATGCAGAATTATTCATAGACAAATTGTCAATTTATTAGCAAAAACGAAAAAATCATAAGAAACATTCCACTTGTTTTTCGCAGATATTTGAGGATTTTCCCCAGATCGTTCCACAGGAGATCAAAGATGAAAGGTTAAGGATCGAACGCGAAGCCACTACACCAGAGACCACGAAAAATTTCTGCCGCAGCCAACCTTGTGGATGGGTAGTTTATAAACAATTTACAAGACAGCTTCAAACGTTCATCTCGAATATGTGAGTTAATCAGTTTACAAACTGCACGTTTTTTCTTGTACATCTCTCTGATTATTTCTGTCATACACGGGAAAGAAAAGTATACATTTTTAATCGTAGAAGAAACGAAAAATTATACACCTGGTAATTAACCTGGAGACCATGTGAGAGTTGGTTAAAAAATTAGTTAGTTAAAATATTAGGCTACCCGAACAAGCTAATTTTTGTGTAACTTGTGACCTTGGCCGGAGAATTAAAATATAATAATTCCGGCCAACCCACGATATTATTTATTCACTTAGATCTGGATGAGAAATTGAGAAATTATATTGTATGGGAGGGCCTGGAATGATAAGAAAAAAGGGGGGTTTTGAATAATTACTCGGGGGGGATTAATGAATTACTAAATTATATTCTAGTCCAATTATGTTCATACCAAAGATCACGATTTTGAAGTCACATGAACAATCATCCAGGCCTTTTCTTAATTATTAATCAAGGGTAGGGGGTAAGGCCAGCCAGCTTGCGACATACCGGTAGTTAGTGATAATAATGAAAAGAATAATGTACAAAGGAAAAGAGAAAGAAAAAAGGGGGAAGTTAATTAATTAAAAAAGGGGAGAAGTTAGGGGAACGATTTCAATATCCGATTATAGGGGGGTTGTTATGATGATCACAACAAATATTCCTACTCTACACAATTACACTAATAATTAGTAAATGGTGAGGCTCACCGGAGGGGGGGGGAATAATATTACAGGGGGTGCGTTGAGATTTTCTGGGCGGGAAAGGTACTGAAGGGTAGTCACAGGGATGGCGGCTACTCTAATCCTTCCAAAAAAGTCCTCCGAACACGAGAAACTCCTCCAAACAAAATCCTCACTGCAGGGAACTCCTGTAGCAATTTTGCGTACACTAGCCTTGCCTCCGTTCGTCACTTCTGGGTCTTATGTATTCCTCCACGGGCCACGGGCACACGTTTTCCTCCACAAATATTCCTCACAAAACTCCTGCAAATACTCTCAAAGTACTCTCCTCAAACTACTCTCCAAATGACTCCTCAAACTACTCTCCAAATGGCTCCTCAAAAATACTCTCCAAATAACTCTTCCAACTACTCTCAACGATTATCCTTTCCGCAGGGGCAGCTGTATCACGAGTAATGGCTTCCCCATACTCGTGGTTGTTCTTCCCCGATTATCGGTAATAATCTTGGTCAATCGGGGGCACTCGTCATCGGGTGTCCTCGTCCTAATTATTAGTCGTTCCGGGATTTCTTTCTCTTCCGGGGTCACGTGGCGAGTGACGTCTGCGTGGGGGCTTTTCTCATCTTCCTTCCGTGTGGCGTGCGGTGACGAGGGGAATGGCGGGTGGAGGGGGCGTTTTCTCCTTCTCTCTCGTCTATTTATTTCGCTTACTTTACTTAAATCTAACAAAAAGTTATTATTAGGGGGCAGGGGAGGGGCTGAAAAAAGTGCCTCGTCACAGCTGTCCCGGGGGTAGAAAATGCATGGGGTTTCTACAACTCCATGCTGAACGATACGATCCCTTGTTATTTCATCTTACTAATTTTTCTTTACTGCTAGCTTCTCTGCTGCTGACTCCGGGAGTGAAGAGCTGGAAGGAAGGCTGTCATTTGTTAATTTATGATTCTATACTGTGCACTCATTCCAGGCACCCCTCCTCACTCTTTCCCTTTCCAACAATTCGCTCAGATATGCATTCATTACGGGGGGGGG